AACATTTATTTATTATAATGTATGTATATAAACATATTATATATATATTTAATAAATATATTTGTATATAAAAATATATTATATATTATATTATAAATATATTTAAAAATGTACTTACTTTTAAATGGTTCTCGACCAGCTATTGTATATGCTGGTGAACTATCTATTCCATAATTTGTTAATTTTGATATATTATACTGAGGTCCAGGTCCAATACTTGGTATTTGAATTTCTGTCCGAGGTCTTATAGTATATGCAGGACCTCTTGGTCGAGATAAACAATGACCTTCATATCCAACTAAAGTCTGTAATTTATATATAGGAGCAGGACCTACACACGTGTATAAATTTTTAATTATAAATAATAATTATATAATTAAATTATATGTATATATTTTAATTAAATTGAATAAACATAAAAATATTATTAATTTATAACTATTATTTCAATTGATAATAATAATTATAATTGAAAATTATTCACATTATTTTAATAATATTTTGTAACATTTAAAATATTAGATTAAATTATAAATTATTTTCGTTTTTTTTTTACATTTTTTTTATTTTAAAATTTACTATATTAACTTATTATATAAATTTTATTATAATCTAATATTCATATATAGATAATATATATAATTAATATGTATAGTTCATATAGTTTTTAAATATATCCACATAATTATTTGATAATTATAAGATTATCTTTTTTATTTTTTATTTAATAAAAAAATTTAAATAAATGTACAAAATTTCAAAAGACACATATGACGAATGTAAATCTATCTAGATTTTAAATAAAACTATATTTTTAATAGTTAATAGTTACAATATATATTTTTTAAAATACAATATTTATATTTATTTAAATTCTTTAAAAAATTGTTGAATGTTCAGGAATTATTATATGCTTATTTTCTCTATTTAAATCAGAGAAGAATATATCAAAGAATAATCGTAAACATCAATATAATAATTTATTAGATATCTAAATAATGTTTTTATTTCAAAGATTTTATTGATAATTTAATTTAATAGAATCTTTTTAAATTCTAACCTTCATATTATTTATTTATATTAGAAATTAATTAAAAATAATAGATTAATCTTCTGATTAAATTTTATTTTTAAGAAACTCGACATAGAAAAAATATTAAATCTAATGACTTGTATAACAAAAATATCCTAATTTTTTCCCTAATAACAAAAGAAACATATTAAGCATTTACTGAAAATAAGAATCTCAAGATTATAATCATTATCAATATTCATTATCTATAATATGTTGAATAAAATATTTTATAATTTTATTTTATAAATTTTTAAATTTATTGATAAAATAAAATCATCATGACAACAATCGAATCAATTTTTTAACTTTTAAAAAAAGTTTTATAGACATTCAATAAAAAAAGAATTTAAATAATTTAAATGAACTATATATTTCGAAAGAAAAATATATTATATTTGCAATATAATACAAGTTGGAAAATTTGTGAAATTTAAAAACAAATACTTTTTGAAAAAAGAAAGAAAAAAAAATATTTCAAATTTCAAAAGTTTCAAATTTCGAGAATTTTAAAAATTTCGAAATCTCATAAAGTTTCGAATTTGAATTCTGTGAATCTAGAAATCAAATTTTGATCTATCTCAATTTTTATTTTTTTTTTTAATATATTATACATATATATATATATATATAATTATAGCTTTATAACTATTTATAACTATTTATAATCGATATGTGTGTTTATTCATCAATTTTTATGTTTTTTTACTTCTGTGCTTAAAATCGATCTTCCAAAGATTTCCTATTCTTAATATTTTGAATATATTATAATCAATTATAGAAAAGAGAAATTTCGCAATGTATAAAATATACAATTATTAATTATAAAATATATATGCAATTGCTAAATCAAGATTTTATTAAAGTATTAATAAATCAATAGAAAAATAACAAAATATTTAAAATAGTTATAATATATATAAAAAAAAGTTAAATAATAAAATGAATTCATCAAAAATTCATAGAATTCATAAAAAATAAATTCGTGGAATTGAATTTATTTATATACTTCATTTTTCATAACTACAAATCATCATTTTATTTTTCTATTTTATAATTTAATCATCTTATAATTAATCATGATCTAAATACAAAATATAACAAAAATCAGTTACAAAATCAGTAACAAAAATCAGAATATTAACTGTTATAACTGCATATCTATTAACTTATTATATATTTTAAAACTATGTTAAATTAATCATTCATTCAAATAATATAAATAAATCTCATATAAAATTAATATATATAATCATTAATAAATATAAAATCATGAATTATTAAATATAATTATGGAAAATATAATTAAGCATAAATATTACAAATTTTATTTTATTGATATGAACATGATTATTTTATGATAACATTTCATAATATATAAATATAAATATTTATATTTCGTATAAAAATCTTACCTTTTATCATACAACTTAACAACTTTGGTTCATTTTCTTTATTGTCCATTTTTATAATGAAGAAAAAATATAATAATAACAAATACAAAAAATAATACAAAAATACGACATAACATAAAAAATAAAAACTATTAATAATCTGAAATTTGAATGAAAGAAATATAAAAGCCATATTCAGATTATTAAATTCAGATAATTAAATTCTTCATTCATTAATTATTATATTAATTCTTACAATAAATTTGATAAAATTAAAATTAAAAATAATATATAATATATAATGATATTTTTTTGAACTAATATTTTTTTTACTTTAATTTAATATATTAATATATTAATATAATTTAGTATATACTTCTTCATGGAAAAAAATTTGTATCGATTATAGAATTACAAAATATATGATTCTATTTAAAAAAAATTAACTTTTAAATTAACTTTTATATATCTTTTAAAAATTTTCTTAAAAAAATTATTTTTTTAAATGATATTTATTTCATCATTCAAATTTAATATTTTTTAATATTCAAGAAATATTATATAAATAAATATATATTATAATTATGTATAATCATTTTAATCATGTAAAATAGAATTATTTATTTATTTTTTTTATAAATTATTTGTAATATATGCATTTATTTAAAAGATTAATTTTAAAAATTCTTTCTATTCAAAAATTAAATGGAAAATTCTTTCTATTCAAAAATTTGATTAGTGAATTTTTATATATTGCTTTAAATTTTAACAAATTTAACAATTCCTTTTATTTTTTTCTTTTTACAATTTTAAATTTTTTTTATCATATGTTATATAAAATTATTATTTTATAAATTATATGTAATATACAATTTATAATTATATATAATATATAATTACATAAATGAAATATGTTCAAGTGTATTAAGTTTACAATATAAAAATACAAAATATGTAAAAAGTATAAAGTTCAGCAAAGAAAATGATATACATATTCTCTTCATGAGATATATGTATAATATCTCAAAAGAAAAAACAAAATGTGGGAAAGCTTAATTGAAAATACCTGAAATAATTTCAAATAATTTTTTCTCTTACAAAAATTTTTATTCGGTTTTGTTTGAATAATTAACAAAAAGTATTAACATTTTATATATAATTACCTATATCATTATTAGTTTTAATTTTTAATTTTTTATTCATGATTTATGATTTTTATATTTTATAATTATTCGTCAATAAAAGTGAAATTTTTATCAAATATATTGTCAATTTTTTATTCTTGGTTTATAAATTTCACAATTAAGAATGTTAAAATTTTTCGTTTAAATGAATTATTATTAATAATTTTATATTAATATTAATCCTATTAAATTATTCTAAAAATCGTATTATTCATTTAGAAATGTCATATAATTGTCTATTATAATTGTATATTTTGAAATATTGAAATATTTTATTTTTAATATAATTTCTCTACCAAACTGAAAAATTTATAGCAATATTGGATCTTTTATAAAGTAAGAACAATCATGAAATATTTCAATTTGTTCAAAATTACTAAACAATAGGATATAAGTTTCGAAAATAGAACACTTGGATCAAAATCTGATAACAACTAAAACGTTCTTTTCAGATTTCCGATGCTAAGATTAGAAAAATTTGTACTAAGTAAATCTGAGACAAGATTCATTATTAATTCTGCATCAAAATTATATTAATATATTCAAATTTAATATTTTGAAAAATTGAAAAAATTAAATGAATTATTTCTTTATTTCATTTTTATCATTATTATTATTATTTTAAAATTTAATCAATTTCATACTTATATGTTAAAATATATATATCTATTTTTAAAGCGAATCATAATTGGAGGTGAAAAGTGAATCGTTTAAGACAATAAACGAAAAAATCGTTAAACGAAAATGATCATGGAGAAATAGAGATGAATTGGCATAAAGCACTTCGAAAGCCAACATTCATCAAAAAAAAGCTCTCTGTTTGGTGAGATTTCAAGGATTTGTTTTTTTTAGCTTTTATCTGAAATTGCATAATTCGGAAGTGTATTGCAATCAATTGGACAAATTAAACAATTACATCAAACAAAAGAGATCTGAATTAATTAACAGGAAAGGTATAATGTTTTATCGCGATAACGCTAGACTTCATATGAATTTAATAAATCGCCAGAAATTGTTAAAGCTTAGATAGAAAATGCTACTGCATTCATCATATTGCCAATCTGGTATCCTCGGATCTATTTTATCATCTATTTCGATCTTTACAAAATTTTTTAAATGGTAAAATGTTTTTTTTTTCAAATTTCAAGTGAGGATATCAAAAAGGAGGATATCACTTAGATCAGTTTTTTGCAAATAAAGATCAGAAGTTCTACGAGCATGAAATCATATTTCTACCTAAAAAAATGGCAACAATTGTCAATATATAATTAAATTAAATACATATATGCTATTAAAAAAGTGTCTTTCATTATCATGAAAAGAAACGAAATTATTTTCCAAACATTCCAATATTTCTTTAAAAAAGATATTAGAGATCTTAGGTAGAAAATGAAATAATTTATAGAAATTATAAATTCTTATTATTCTTAACAATTTCAGTCAGAATATTTACTTGCGTTTTTCTATAAAGTATATCAATTTATATCCATTTCTAGCTTGATTTTGTATTTAAAAAATAACATACATATATATCCATGATGCAATCGAAGGATAAATTCAAATTATTAAAAATTCTTATACAGAAAATTCTTACACAAAAAAAAAATTTTTAGTCATTGAATTGATCTATTAAATTACAAATGATCAGCTGATTGTGATCGCGAAATGAATTTGAAATGAATTTATATTATTCATTGAATAATATAAATAAATTCGATTTCTTATATTTCTTACAGAATAACAACTAGTTTATTCGTTATACATGAAATGAATATCTTATGTATTATATAAGATATAAGAATTCAATATTTTTCGATAAAAAAATATTTATTATATTCAATATTTTCTTCAACACATATATTATTTTTGCATAGATTTATTTGTTCGAGTTCGCACATAGCATGTACATTACGGTTACTAGTTACTTTGATTAATTTGCATAATCTATAATTAATCAATGTTTTTTATTAATAAAATCAAAACGAAAGTTTTTACAAAGGAAAATATTGAAATTATTTTAAGAATCTTCAATTACTGACGTAAATGTACGTAATTCTTATTTTTGGAATAGTCTATAAGGTTGAAGAATGAATCTGAATTTTAATAAACTTAATATTCCGTGTTAATCCGAAATTCTAATTTTTCGACTAACAATCAAAATCCAGTAAATATACCTATTTCAAATTCATTTTTGTTTCGTATAACATATAATAAAAAACAGCGATTCAACTAATGCAGAATATGTATGCCTAAATCATCTGTGAACAACAATAGGTCAATAAATTTATCAAAAAAAAAATCTAATTCGTAAAAATTCACTGCCCAAAGAAATCAGTAAATATCCGTTCAAATAAACTACAATAATTAGCAATTTGGAAGTAACTACGAGTTATTACGAATATTGTAAGTTTAATAATTAAATTTAATAATCCGTAAATAGTTACGAGTTTCTATAACATAAGTTAGGTTATACTAGATGGCTTAATGTGATTATTTTTATCTTTATTTTGCTTATTTAATGATAAAATAATATATATAACAATTGACAGATTTATTTTGCAAAATGACAAGATTTATTTTGCAATTGACAATAATCTGAGTAATGATTTTCTGATTAATTATATTAAATTGCAAATGATAAAAACTGATTGAAAATCGAAATATAAATAAATATATTCGATAAATATATATATAATATATCCACATATATCCACGATATATGTATATATCCGTAGAGAAAAAGAAAACATAATTAATAATAAAAATAAAAAGTTATTATTTATCTTTAATTTTTTTTTAAAATTATCTTAAAATAATTCATTGAACAATTTAATAAAAAAAAAAAAATAAGTTTTTTTGGATTAATTTCTTGAATTTTGCACTTAAATGACTAACATTATAAATATATTCATTATAACGCATAATATTGTGCTTGCAAAATATATATATATATACGTCATATATATATATATATATA